AACTGGTCTATTTTAATGAGTTATAAAATCTAGATAATTTTATCTGTTGATTTATGATAGTTCAAGAAAAATGTAGCCAAACATTTTTTTTTTCCTTAGTGAAGGGGGCAGGGAAGGCATGTCTTTTCTTTATTGAAAGCATGTGTGTGCATATTGATTTTGAGTTTGGCTCTTTGGATCCTCTTTAGTTCTTGCTTCCATTGACAGCTGTATATTTTCCTTTTGGAAACAGTACATTTTTGTAACAGTTTCTTAGGGTTCACACAAATGCAGCTAAAACTATGATTTCAGGTTGCTATCCTCCAATTTTTCACAACTCTTCTCTTGGTTGCCTCGGGTTTCCCTGTGTGGACATTCATTATCAGCAATGATTTAGAGCCTTGTTAAGCATTAGAACAGGGGACCACAGTCATCTTTGCCTGTACACAGCACATCCCAACATTTCTATGAAGACCTGGCTTCACCTCTTCACCACCTCAAAGGGCTCCAGAAGACAGTGGGGTTGTTTTCTTGAATGTGCTAAGGAGAATTTTACTATCATTAAAATACCACATACTTAAGCAGATTATTTTCCATGAACAAGGTCAAAATATAAATCTTTTAAGTAAGCAAAGCTCTGATTTTTATCACCAAAGATGAAATAAAATAAAAAATGTGTTAATAACAAAGGAAAGCAGCTAATTTTTGAATCGGAAAACATCAAAGTTCAACTAAAATCTAAGACAATAATATTAACTCAGAATTGAATACTATATATAAAATTGAAGCATTCTATTATGCTTCTGTTACTTGGGTGGAAAGTAAAGAAATTGCAACTGGTTTTGTTCATTTAAAAATGCACAATACACATCTATTTTTGGTTTTGTTGCTTATGCTTTTGGTTTCAAATCCAAAAAAATTGCTGTAATCACATGCCAGAGGGTCTTATGATTAAGTCTTTATGCCACATTGAGTTGATTTAGTGTATAATGTGAGATAGGAATCCAATGTACTTTTAAATTATTTTCAATTGGCAAATAAGATCATGTTAGTTTATCATTTACATCAAGTTGCTCTGGAATGCGTAAACTCTGTGAATAGCCAACCTGGCCCAATTAACATATACATTATCTCACTTTTTTTTTTTGTGGCTAGAGCACTTAAAGCCAGGAGCCCAATTTCTTTCTATTACACTTGATATTCAGATTTCTCACCATCATTCCTTGAAGAGATGATCTTTTTCCAGTTTTATATTCTTGGCCCCCTTATCGGAGGTGGTCAAGTCCACTCACGAAGAATTATCTTGGTGCTCTTTTATCTGCTCTACTGGTCTGTCTTTATGCTAGCATCACACTGTTTTAATAACTGCATATTTGTGATATATTTTGAAATAATATGTTTGTTCTTTAGATTTGTTCTTTTCTTTGAAAATAAATATGGGATCTTCTTGGCCTCTATACACATTTTAGGATTGTTTTATATATTTTGTAAGAAATTATGATTTTGATTGGGACTGACATGAATTTTAGATCACTTTGGGTAGTATGGACATTTTAACAATTTTAAAACCCCAAAACATGGAATATCTTTCCATCTATCTGTATTTTATAGTTTTAATTATATAGATACTTCACCCCTTATTTTTATTTATTTCAAAGTATTTTATTCTTATTGATCTTATGATAAAAGAGGTTGCTTTCTTTTTGAAATTTTTATTTGTTTTTATTTCATGTGTGTGAATGTTTTGCCTGTACGTATGTAAGTGCACCACATGCATATAATGCCCACAGAGATCAGAAGAGGGCATTGGACCTCCTGGAACAGGAGTTATGGACTGTTGGTAGCTGTCAGGTGGGTGCTGGGAACTAAACCTGGATCCTCTGCAGGAACACTCAGTGCTCTTAACCACTGAGCCATCCCTCCAGCTCAGGATTGCTTTCTTATATTCTTTCCTGTATGCTCTTTGCCAATATATCAAAACATAACTAATTTTTATATGTTTTGTATCCTACAATATCTCTGAGTTCATTAGTGGCTAACAGCAGGGTCATTTGTCTGTTTGTTTGTTTATTTGGGGTCTTTAGGATTTTCTATTTATTATCTTCTCAATAAACAGAAATAAAAATATTTCTTCCTGTCTAACATGGGAGCCTTTGGTTTCTCTCGTTTGCCCATCTGCTCGTCTAGGAGTTACAGCATTAGGTTGAGTGGTGAGAATGGGCACCTTTGTCTTGTTCCTAATCTTAGACAAGTCTTCAGCTTTTCAGCATTAGTGCGATGTTAACTTGGGGCTTCTCACATGCCCTTATTGTTACGCTGGGCTAGATTTCATTTAAGCTAACTTTCTGAGAGTGTTCTCATGAAAAGACGTTGAATGTTGTCATCTTAATTTTCTGCACTTAGTGAGATGATCATGAGATTTTCACCTTTCATTTTGTAATACAGTGATTACATGTACCCATTTGTGTCTGCTGAGCTATCCTTGCACCCCAGGGATAGTTCTCATTTGAGCATGATGAATACTTTTAATGTGCTGTTGGCTTGCAAATAGTTTGGTTTGTATTTGTTACTATTTCTGCTTTCTGGTGTTCTGTTGATGATGCTTACATTTGTGTTCTTTCACCATGAAGGAAGACCCGTCCTTTCCTTTGTGGGGGTGCTGTTGTCTCGTTTTGGTACTGATACAATGCTGGCCTTATCAAATGAGGCTGGAAGTATTCTCTTCTCTTCATTTTATTTTTTAAATGTGAGGAAGCTTGTTGTTAATTCTTTACATGTTTAGTAGAATTCACTAACAAAGAACATGGCTTCTGATCTTTGTTGAGATGTTTACGATTACTGATTCAGTGTCCTTACTCATTAATATGTTCAGTTAAAAAATATTTTAATATTTTTATTTTATGTGTATGAGTGTGTTGCCTGCATGTATGTGAGTGCACCCATGTTGTGCCATGCTGTGGAAGTCAGAAGAGGGCTTTGGATTCCCCTGGAACTGGAGTTAAGGATGTTTTGCAGCCTCCATGTGGGTGTTGGGAATTGAACCCAGGTCCTCTGTAAGAGCAGTCAGTGCTCCTAACTGCTGAGCCATCTCTCCAGCCCCTGTTCAGTTTTTATTTTTTAAAAAACCTTTCTTCATGATTTAGTATTAGTGAGCTGAGTAGTGTATATTTATACAAAGATCTTTATTTCTTTTCTTATTCAATTTGTTGGTGCATAGTTGTTATTTATTTATTTATTTATTTATTTATTTTATGTGTATGGTTGTTTTGCCTGCATGTGTGTAAGTGCACCCTTGTCATGTCATGCAATGCCCAGGGAGGTCAGAAGAAGTTGAATTCCCCTGGAACTGGAGTTATGGATGGTTGTTAGCCACCATTTGGGTGCTGGGAATCAAAACCAGGTCCTCTGTAACAGTCAGCGCTCTTAACTGCTGAGCCATCTCTCTAGCCAAGTGCACAATTGTTTAAAAGTAGTCTTTTAAAGTATTTTTGTGTCAGTTATAATGTCTTCTCTTCATTTCTGATTTCATTTATTTTAATCTTCTGTCCTTTTCTTGCCTTGTTAAAAAACAGCCAGGTTTTATTTTTTTTTTTAAATCTCAAAAAAAAGAAAAAAAGAAAAAAAGAGAAAAACCCAAACAACATAGATTTGTTAATTTTTCTATTGTTTTTCTAGTTTCTATTTCTTTATTTCTGCTTCTATCTTTCTTGTTTTCTTCCTCTCTTGACTTTAGACCTATTTTGTCCCTCTCAAGTTCTTTGAGATATAAATTAGGATTCCTATTTGAGAGGTGTTTGGAGTTCCAGTGGTGGAGTCCATTAGCACATGGTACCCTCCCACCCACTGTCCATTAGCACATGGTACTCTCCCACCATGTGGCTGCTTATTGCTGTAAACTTCCTACATAGACCTGGCTTTCATATGTCTCATAGGATTTGGCATGTTGTGCTTCCAATTTTGTTTGTCTCGAGACATTTAAATTTTTTCTTTACCTTTCTGTTGTTTGGATGCATATTTTCCTTTCTATGCAATGTAATTTTTCTCTTACAATTAATTTTTATTTTCCTACCATGATTTTTTAAAAATGTCTTAAGACTTGTTTTATGGTCCATGTCTTAAACTATTCCATGTGCACTTGAGGAAAAGAAAACATGTACACCACTGCCATTGAATAGAATGTTCTATGTCTGCTAGAATCATTTCACTTGTAGTGGTCTTCAAATTTGCTGACCTACAAGTTTCCTCCCTGAGGACGAGCCCTCATGGCATTGGAAGGTGCTGTGCAAGCTGCCAAGGAAGAAAAACGATCAATAGTCATACCCAGGCATAAAACCTATGAATCTGAACAATGACCGACCCAGCAAAATATCCTTAATGGTGCAGTAGTAGCACTTTTATTTTGGGGGTAACAAATAACACTGCCTAATTGGACTTAAGGCCCACTCAATAGGAAGCAATTCATGCCTGGTACTGGGAACTTAGATTACTGGCTCCTGGAGAGGTCATAGACCCAAGGGGAGAAACTACTGCTTCCACTTTCCTAAGTGAACACTTTCTTGCTGTATTCCAAATACCTTTCTTATATTCACAGATAAATGTAGCTCTCATCACTCACCAAAAATGCTTCTTTTTGCATTAGATGGAAATTACTACAAAGTTCCACAACTGTTCAAAATACAGAGATAAGTGATGGTGGGGTACCCAGCCCCAATTGATACATCTATAATGCAACCCCTAAACAAGGCTCAGGGAGGGAACATCATGGAAGAGAGGGCAGGATAACATATACTTTGTTAGCATTTTCACTACCTTTCGTGAGGGCAAGAATGATGTTCACTCTTAATGGTATAGCTTTAATTCTTAACACAGTGTCTGAAAATATATTTAATTTAATGAGCTAAATCCAAACATGGCACTACAAAATGTTCTCATTGAGTTGAAACACCTAGTTTACACTAAGGAACTAAAACCCAAGTAGCTAACTCAAGCTACTGTTTAATTAGCTGAATTATCTAAGTTACCTGAATCCAACATTGGAGTGAAGAGCAGTGTTCCAATATTCACAGTGTAGGCGTTGGGTATTCATTGGATTATGAAAAACTAACAGTAAAGAATTGTCTTGAGTGTGGTAATAAGAATCAACACACTGATACTGATAATGAGCTTCTTGTAGAACCTGAAAATCAAAATAATTGTATTGTTGAGTCTTTTTATCCTGGAAACAGAGCCTGGGTCCCTTTTCCTTCCTCTCATTTCTACATTGTTGGTCAACTTTGGATTCCCATGGGATTCTTTCCTAACTACTAGAAAATGAGATCATAAGAGATAATACATTTTGTGCAACATTTCAATAACTCTTAGAGAAAAACAAATAGTAGGCTCCAGGGGTAGAGACATTTGCTAAAAGTCTTCTTCATAACCGTGGATGGATAATGTTGTTCTACCCTTCCATCTGGATCATCTCATCACCATTAAGGATGCCTGATAAATAGGTACATATTCCAGGCTGTTCCCAGCCTGCTCCAAGTTCACATACTGACACTCTGACCTTTAGTGTGGCAGTATTTGGAGGTGGGGTTTTAGGGGTGTTGTGAGGGTGGGACTCCCACAATAGGATTAGTGTCCTGAGAAATCAGATCTTGCTTTCTCTCCTCTGTAGCTCTCTGTCAAGGGGTGGGCTCTCATCAGAACCCAACCACACTGCCATACTAGTACTTGGATTTGGTTTTCCTAACTCTAAAATTCCATGACAGTGAATTTCTGTTGTTTAAGCTTTTTGGCCTGCAGTATTTGGTTATGCCAGATTGAACAGATTAAGATAACAGCTAACAATATTTTTTCCAGTTTAAATATACAGAGGTCTCATTTCCCAGCATAACAAAAGTCTTGCCCAAAGAAACGAGTTTGCAAGTTCTGGTGCCAGGACTCACACCAGTCTTCTAGCTCTGACTTCTCTGCTCCATGTTCCATGCTGTGCCTTCAGGTGCAGAATGTGCATTACAATGAAATGAAGTGAGTGGCCTTTATAAGAGGTGCTGTTGTGATTTGCCCTTGTGGTGGCTAATCCTGGGTGTCAACTTGATTGGATCTGGGATTAACTGAAATGAAAGAGATCTTTTTGATTGGATCATCTAAAGCCGGAAGATATACCCTAAATGTGGGCGTTACCTTCTGATGGCAGCCGGTATAAAAGACCAAGGCAACAAAGAACGCGGGGCTTTTTGCGGCTTGCCTTCTCTCTCGCTGGTGAGTTTGTCTTGCTGCTGTAGACAGTACTGAGAGAGACACCAGAACGTTTGAAGAGCTTTGTTTTTGCTCTTTTCCTTATGCCGAATCTTACAGTTGGAGATGCTGCTGCTCAATTGCATAAATTAAATGTAAATACAATAGGTGTAACAGGACCTCAGAGTAGGGGTCAGGTGGCAGTACTGAATTACCAAAGACAAGGTGAGCATACTTATCGTAATGGGCAGCAAAGGCAAAACAATACAATGGCATGACTCGAATGGACCTGTGGTACTGGCTAATCAATCTTGGTGTTTTCAGGGATCACATACATAAGAAGCCTACTAAGTTTTTACTTGATCTGTATAAGCAGAAAAGCTCTAGGACAAATGACAGGAAGTTAGTATTGGATCGTAGCAATAGAGTCTAGCTCAGTCAACCAATTTCCAGACTTGAGACAGTTTACAGACCCAGAACCCCTTGAATGAAGGGAAGGCCGGGTGCCCTTGAGGAAGGACTTTGTCACAGTACCAAAGAGTTATGCTGTTTGCCTCTCACCCATCCTTCCCCAGAGGGACCTGCGGCCTTTCACTAGAGTAACTGTATTGGATACCAAAGGAAATAATCAGACATTCATTCCGTGGCCTATTGGATACTGGTTATGAGTTGACACTGATTCCAGGAGATCCTAAAAAGCATTGTGGCCCTCCAGTTAAAGTAGGGGCTTATGGAGGTCCAGGTGATAAATGGAGTTTTGGCTGAAGTCCGACTGACAGTGGGTCCAGAGGGTCCCTGAACTCATCCTGTGTTTATTTCCCCAGTACCAGAATGTATAATTAGGACAGATATACTTAGGAATTGGCAGAATCCCCACATTGGTTCCCTGACCTGTGGAGTGAGGGCTATTATGGTTGGAAAGGCCAAATGGAAACCACTGGAATTGCCTCTGCCAGGGAAAATAGTGAACCAAAAAAAGTATCACATCCCTGGAGGGATTGCAGAAATTAGTGCTACCATC